GTTATTTCTTGTGAGATATTCGAACATGCGCGAACGGAAGTTTATGACCGATTTCTAAGAAACTGATGTCTGCCATTGCTAAACCAATCAGAACCAATCTTGGGTGTAGCAATTCAGATAACAGGAAATTGTGGAAAATACATTGAAGACGTCAAATTTCTGAGAAAAGGGTGCTTTGAATCCCTTTATTCGGGAACAGAGAAAACCATGACTATGTTGTTTGTGCCATCGACGAATGAATGCATCATTTTGCGATTATTGACTACAATATACATAAAGAAAATGTAATGGAAGAGGCAACCGACTAAATTAATACGCTTTAAGCCCATAGGAGATCAATAGCGTTAACATATAGATTCCTAGAGTCTAACGATTGGCTTTCTTTATCGACCATTTCAAAACAGAGTCTGAGTAATAATAGTTTTTAGACACCATAACAAATCGACAAAAAAGTGAATCCAATTTCGTTTCAATACGTCTTCATTTATTAGTTTCCGGATAATCCCTCTCACTGAGAATATAAACATGCGTGTGCAGTTTACTCTACACTCTGTTAATTTTTCGCGATAAGTCTACCCTAAGAATTTAAATCAATCGAAACCTAATATTGAAGAAAATGAAAATGATAAACTAAAGAGGATTAGTTCGCCTTTGTTTCAGTACTACATTACGCGCGCTAAGATGAACGTAATCTTAACTGACTGTATAGTTATCAATCAAACTTAGCACTATTAAGTTGAATTAGTGGAATGCAGTTTGTTGGCCCACTGATCATGATCAGTATGCTAGCTAATCCAACACTTCACTTTCCTTAAGAACTGACCCAAATTAGCAGACAAAGTCTAAATTTCTCAGAAATTGAAACAGGAATTGGCCTAAGTTGAAGTTTTGCAACAAAACATTTATTCCAAACAATAGCATCGAAATAAAAAGCGAAAGGGTCCTTGTGTCGACAGACCTTTGTGGTTTTAACTTCATTAAGTATAAAGGAGAAAAATAAGAAAAGTATTGATAATAGTCATCCTGATGCTCAGCTCCATTATCGTAGACTTAACCATGAAACGACGAATTCTCACCTAATACAATCTACGAAATCAATTCAGTTTACATTAGCTTGGAAAATCACCTACATGACTTGCATAACTATCGAGGCCTGTGTGCTCATCTCAAGGAGACGTAATTTCTTCCGATTACACAATTCTTTTACATAAAGTAATGCTTTACTGGGACAGATCAGTCTCCCAGATTTTAAGCAGTTCGTGTAAGAGCTTCGTTGACAGCCAGTTGTCTTCCAAGTTGTTTGACTGAGCGGTTATGCTTATGGCACGTTGAAGCGAATCCTTGGAGATCTCAGGATGGGCTTCAATGTTTCTTGTCTCTTGTAGTAAGGTGATTGCCTCTTCGTGAGTCTCATCCCAGTGAAACGTCTCCTGAATCGACTCCCATTTCCTCTGAGCATTGGTGTTTGGGAACTTGCTTAAATGGCGGTGAATGGCATCAACTTTATAATTGACATCTTTAACACTTCTGGGAAATACAAACCGATAAAGCTTGGTTTGTATTTGACGACACATTTCGCCTAAGTGTAGCAATGCTTCTCCGCTGGTTTTCGGTATTGCTGGCAGGGGCTTATTTGGAAGCGCTCTGGCACCACTCATTAAAGGAAGAAGTCCTTTGAGTTGCGATTCTTTGATGTTCCTCAGTTCCTTCTTAAGTTCTTCGCTCTCCTTTCTTTTCTTCTCCCGATCTTCCTTCACTGTTTCCAAGGTTCTCCGGAACCCTTCGAGATCTTGCTTCAATTTCAAATTAGTTTGCTCCTGGCTTGACTTCGCCTTTCTCAACTTATCAACTTCCTTTTGCACAAGGCCGAGATCGGTTTTCACCGATCCTAACTCCCTTTGCAACTCCGTCTTCTCGTCCTCCAGCTCGTCGATTCTCGATTTTAGGGTACCAATCTCTTCGTCTTTTGTGTCAAGCGCGCTTTTAAGCTCGTCATTTTGCTCCTGAAGAGTCTGTAGAGCTTTCTGAAGGGCAACGATTTCATCATCCTTCTTTTTGATCTCCTTCTCAAGGCTATCGATCTTTTCGCCATGCTCGCGGATTGTTATGGCTTTTGGTGTGTTTCTCTCACCGACTAGCTGTCCTCTCATAACAGTTGCTATAGCTCCTATGTTGAGATCACTTGGAAGGAACTGCGGGAATTCATCATCAGTCCTACCTGACTCCATGATAGTCGAACTGCAACTGTCGTGGATCTTGTTATATATATCAACTGGCAAAAAGGGACGGTTATTCGAAGGTTATTCGAAGGAAGGTTATTCTGCTGTCAACACAATCCGTTTTCTCTTTCATGAAAGATTCTCTCTGCGCATGTGTCGTCATGGGATACCATTGCCGGACAAATCACAACCGTTCTTGGTGTTTAGAGTTTTATTTAACAGGTGGTATTTTTCAAATGTGTTCGCGTCATCCAAATTTCTAGGAAATGGGTAAACCACCATCCAATATCTTGGAAGTAGAGAAAAACATAGATTCGTTGTTATGTTATAAAAATCCAAATGGAACTTTCGCTATGTCATAATAGGCAAAAATAAATTAAAGGAAAAGCTTAACAGAACTGTGTTAGAAAAGACGCCCAAACATGTACAATAAATTCGTACCCATGCAAAGCGCATAGGATCTGTTGAAAAACCATTGAGATTCCTAGAATTTGTTAATAAGCATTCGTAATCAAACGAGTCAAAGCAAAGTTTGAGTAGCACTAGCTTTTTAGATATTAGAGCGAATTACAGAAAAATGAATTCTGTCATTCTGACACAACCACATGCATCAGTCCGCTATGGCAAATAAAATCATAGCAAGAATAAAACTATATTTTCAGGTATTTATGCCATTTATGCCCCAAGCGTACTCGACTGCACACAACCCTGACTTGCCACGCGTTTTCAAACGAACTCTGGACCACTAAGTTAAACTGCTGGAATACAGCTTATTAGAAAGAGGGCGCTTAATTTATTGAGCTGCTTATTATTCATCTGTACTGATATCGCTGTAGCTGAAGCTTAAAAATTTACGTATAAAGTGGAAATGGAAACAGGATTTTAATGCATCCCTGCTACCTAAGCAAGTTAGAGAGGAAGGGGCGCTTATTCGAGAAGGACGCTGATTTGAAATTATGGCCAATGGGCGGGGGGGGGGCGCTTACTCGGGGGAGGATGCCTTTTTAGAGAATGGGCGCTTATTCGAGGAAATACTTTATATTGAAACGTTGCATTGAAAAATTAATTCCAGACAATGGGATCGAGTGAAAGAGGTGAAGTGTCCTTTTGTCGACTTAAAATTGTAACGCTTATCTCCTTAGTCTTGGTCAAAGCCATCACTCAGCAAAGTTCCTTACCCAACTTAAAGGCTACGAACTCAATTTAGCCTATAAGAACTTGGCACATCAACCATAAATTTCGAAGTCTCTTGATGACATTTTTCTCTCTAACATTTTCGCGATAAGTCTACCCTATCAATTTAAATTAATTGTAACCTGATTTTGAAGAAAGGGAAAACTGTAGCCCTAACAGGTTTAGTTGGCCTTTGCCTCAGTACTACATCACGCGCACAGAGATGAACATAACCCTAACTGACTGTATAGTTACCAATCGAACTTAGCATCATTAAGTTAAATTAGTGGATTACAATTTGTTGGCTCATTGATTAGTGCGCTAACTAATCCAACACTTCACTTCCCTTAAGAACTAACCCAAATTAGCAAACAAGGTCTAAATATCGAAGAAATCGAAACTGGAATTGGCTTAAGTTGAAGTATTGTAACGTCACATTAATTCCCAACAACAGCATCAAAGGAAAAAGCGAAAGCGTCTCTATGTCGATTTTTTTAATTTCAATTAGTATAAAGGAGAAACATAAGAACAGCATTGGTAAAATTCATCCTTAGGCCCAACTCCATGCCACTATCGTAGCAGTAACTACGTAACAACAAATTACCACCGAATACAGACTACGAAATCAATTCAGTCTACATTAGCTTGAAACATCACCTACGTGGCTTGCATAACTATCGAAGCCTGTGCGCTCATTTCAAGGAGAAGTAATTTCTTCCGATCACACAATTTCTTTTACATAAGGTAGTATTTTACTGAGACAGATCAGTCTCCCAGATGTTATTTTGAAGTATTGGTGTGAGTCGGCGAGCGAAGTGCGTGGCATATATAATATTATGTAAGGTGTGTGCATGAGCAGTGAACCTTCCTGCGTAGAATTCCGAGAAATTATTTCACAGGGGGTTATTTTTAAATTTTTATATTTAGCATTAAAATAGGAGTAACAGGCGGGTTTTTCGAGTTCAAAATATTCGTTGACACCGTTAAACGAAAATGAAACTTGGTCGCATCAGTCGATCTCTTAAAGGATATTCTCACAATGTAATTTCTTGCAAGCGAGATGGTTGATTTATTTTCACCCAACGAGTTAGAATTTGGAAATAAATATTTCGGTTGTTGTTGTCGAATAGAACCCCTCTAACTCAACCTTATTCTCGGCAAATTTTTCCCAGATTTATTTCGCGATAAAAAGAGAGATAAATCATTTGTTTTCAATGGAAACACATTATTCCCATAAGTACTCGCGTTGGTTTTCTCAGTAAACATAGTGACGTCTTTTCATTTAGCATTTCTTTTGTTTCATTTTTTAATTATTTTTTAGCACGGGCTGCTTTTTTAAGAAAAGCTGTGTAAGCAAATTGAATTAGGGATGGGCAAATCTGGGGAGAGGTTAAATGACATTACAAGGTCTTCCACAATCCAACACGAGTAGCTATAGTCGCGCATGATCACTTCAACAGCTTTCCAGAAAAACTACCAAACGACCGTTTGCTTATGTAAGAGGTATTTTCTCAGAAAAAATCCAATATAATCACAGTTAAAGTGTTAATTTGATCTCCAGTATGGGGGGAGGGGTTATATTCTGAACGAGAAGAAACTACGCGACTTTGTCGAATGATTTCGGGTTTTTTTATGTCAAAGACAAAGACATTAGGCTACTCAACCTTGAGACTAAACGGTTCGTAAGCAAATGAAAGAGAACGTTCAAGAAGAACACATGTATTGATCTAGTTGTGGGTTGTTGTTATTAATTACAAGTTATGTTGTTAAAAGAAGTCTATCCGTATCTTACCCTAGCATCATGTCAACACGGGGTCAGTCAGACTTGTAAATTGATTATTGCACAATTAAGAATGAAGTCGATTTCGTGGAAAGCGTTGAGTCCATTTCTGTTTTCGGAAACAGGATCCGAAAGCAAACAAAATAGGTCACATTCATATAAGTTATAGAAATGCATGTGTATTCATTTATTTTTTTGGCATCATTTAAAATGGAGTATTTCAATGAATAAATGTGGAAATGTTTCATGTTCCCTTAAGGAGTTGAGTGAGATCTCAAATTTTAACTTCTAGCTGTGGATTGTTTCTGAGGAAGAACATATAGGGGTAGTCATACTGGATTTCTGTGATATCTCCGTAAATGTAGCCAAGATTGGACAGAGCGTTCGCTTGGTTGTAGGAAAAAGGCAAAGAATATGGCAATGTTCTGACGAATCCACCGCTGATGGTGATCCTGGTGATGATCCTACCAATTTCTTAGAATTGTTTTGTTTATCAGCCTGGTCTTGTTAAGCGTTCACAAGAAATATACCTCTATAATGGCATTTCAAAACAACCCCAAATCTGTACAAAAAAACAAAACCAGCTTCGAAGATTTTAAAAGTAAAGTAGCAGTGAGGCGTGTATATTAAAAAGATTAGCTTTAAACATTGGAAAAGAGTTGGTCATTCGAAACTTTGACTCATGCTGAAAGTATTTCATTTATTTAAAACGTTAGGGCTTTCTATCCCTTGATTTTATCAGATGATTTCTTTTCATGCCATGCAAGCTGAAACAACGGCATGAATATATTTTCGGAGAACGAAAAGCATAACCATGAGTACCAATACAAGGTGAAAGAAGTTTTCATTTTTTTCCTTTCAAGTTTCGCTTTTATCAATAGTGATTTCGTAAAGCTTTTGACAATAAAAATAAACGGTAAAAATGAACGGTAAAACGTTCTGTTTTACCATTCATTTTAATTGTCAACACTTTTCTACTTTTTTAAGGAAAAAGAAAGAAATAAAAAAAAATTAGTGAAGAAAGAAATTCTAAAAATCTGAAGGATGACAATGATCAGGCAGGTTCAAAATATAATTTGATTGACTAAGCTCTTTGCTTTGTCCATCGTCATCATGGGATACCATTGTCGGACAAATTATAACCGTTGCTGGTGTTTAGTGTATTACCTAACAAGTGATATTTTCAAATCTTTTCGTGCCATCCAAATTTGTGGGAAATGGGTAAACCAACATCCAATATCTTGGAAGTAGAGAAAAAAGTAACTTCCTTGTTATGCTGTAAAACTAAAACAAATCAAAACAAATGAAACATTTGTTTTGTCGTAATAGACGGAAACAAATAAAAGAATAATCTGAGACGAACTGTTTTAGAAAAGACACCCAAACACATGCAATAAATTCGTACTCATGCGCATGAGATCTGTTGCGAAACCTTTAAGAATTCAATAGTAAGCATTCGTAATTAAGCGAGTCAAAGCAAAGTTTGAGTAGCACTAGCTTTTTAGATACAAGAGCGAACAGAGAAATTACTGCTGTCATTCTGACGCAACCACATGCATCAGTCTGCTGTGGCCAAAAAAATCATTCAGAGAATAAAATTATATTTCCAGGTGTTTATGCCATTTTTACGCCATGCGTGCTCGACTGAACACAACCCTGACGTGCTACGTTTTTTCAAACGAACTCTGGAGCACTAAGTTGAACAACTGGAAAGAGGGCGCTTAATTTTGGGGGGAAGGGGGGGCACTTATTATTCATCTGTACTGAGACCGCTGTAGTTGAAGCTTATAAATTTATAAGTAAAGTGGAAATAGAGACATTTTTCCTTGTATTCCTGCTATTTAAGCAAGTTAGAGAGGAAGGGACGCTTAATCGAGGAGGGCACTCATTTGAAATTATGGCTAATGGGGTGGGCGCTTATTTGGGGGAGGATGCCCGTTTAGAGCGTGGGCGCTTATTCGAGGAAATACAATATATTGAGAGGTTGCATTGAAACTAATTCCAAAAAATGGGAAAGCTTTAGAGAACCAAGTGCCCTTTTGTCGACTTACGTAAGTAATTCCAGTCTCGTTATGTATTAAACAGCTGAGAAGGAGGAACATCATTCGTGATGGTTGGACTGCTTTGATTACTGGTGAT